CCTGGTCCCCGACTGAGAAAGACATCTGGGTTCGGTCTCCACTGGGAAAAGGTGGCCACCACCGTAAAGCTGACGACTCTGATTTACGATGAACACACCTGCAGCATTAACCAGGGCGGCCGGCCGCTGGGTTTCCTAACCCGCAAACGAAAAAAACGCACGACCGCCGTGTCCCCTGCAGAATCATCACCACCACCCTGGGTGTGGATCTCACACCATTGCCTTACAGTCGGCACTTGCTAATGCACGAAACGCTCGGCCTCATCGCCACCATTCACCGTCACCGCCGCCGCCTCCGCCACCATCTGGTTTCGGGTTGTTCCCTTTGGTTACCGACCTCGGCGTGTCACTCCACCGCCTGCCGACATCAACGACACGGGGACGTCACCGGCTCTTGCGTCATCTGCCCCTGCAGCTGAGCCCAGAGTCACGTCACGCGGAGGCGTCGCACCGCGGTGGGTGGGGGGGGTATTGGAGAACAACGGTGACTGCGGGTAACGAGGGAACACCCCCCCACCCCCACAAAGCCCCCCCGCCCACCGACTATCCGGACCCCGGTGATGTCACTCAGAAGAGGCACCGGCGAATTTGTCGCATCAACCGCGGCGCCGATGGTGCGCGCTAGGAGTTCCCGGCATCGCGAACGGCGATGAATGGGATTCACGAGTCAGCACCCCCCATCCCACATCCCCCCCCCCACACCCCCCCCCCCATTCCACACCCCCCCCATCCCACACCCCCCCCCATCCCACACTCTACCCCCCCCATCCCACACTACCCCCCCCATCCCACACTACCCCCCCATCCCACACTACCCCCCCCATCCCACACTACCCCCCCCATCCCACACTATACCCCCCCCCCATCCCACACTCTACCCCCCCCATCCCACACTCTACCCCCCCCATCCCACACTACCCCCCCCATCCCACACTATACCCCCCCCATCCCACACTACACCCCCCCATCCCACACTACCCCCCCATCCCACACTACCCCCCCATCCCACACTATACCCCCCCCATCCCAAACTACACCCCCCCATCCCCCCCACACTATACGCCCCCCATCCCACACTCTAACCCCCCCCCCCCACTCTACCCCCCCCCCCCACACCTCCTAACCCCCCCCCCCCCACACTCTACCCCCCCCCCCACACTCTAACCACCCCCCATCCCACACTACCCCCCCCTCCCACACTATACCCCCCCCATCCCCACACTATACCCCCCCATCCCCACTACACCCCCCATCCCACACATACACCCCCCCCATCCCTCACTACACCCACCCCCATCCCACACTATACCCCCCCCATCCCACACTATAACCCCCCCATCCCACACTATACCCCCCCATCCCACACTATACCCCCCATCCCACACTACCCCCCCCCCATCCCACACTACCCCCCCCCATCCCACACTATACCCCCCCATCCCACACTATACCCCCCATCCCACACTACACCCCCCCCCCATCCCACACTACCCCCCCCCATCCCACACTATACCCCCCATCCCACACTACCCCCCCCCCATCCCACACTACCCCCCCATCCCTCACCCCCCCCCGCCACCATCAACGCCCTACATAAAGCGCCACTCAAAAACCAACATTCACAATCGCCAACTCACCACCACCACCACCAGCTGTCGCTAACCGCTGCGCGATGCAGTCTTGCCTAGACTGTACTGGACTGTTTTAGCTGGTCAGATGTGGTCGTGTGCTATGAAGAAGGGCCATTGCTCGAAACGTCGCTGATTATATATGAATTATTTGGGCCCTCTTCAGGCCACTGTCTTGTTGACGAGCCAGTCGAGAGCTTTTATTTGTTGTTGTTCGTGCTCGCGCTCCGCAACCAGCAGCAGTAGCAGCGTCACCAAATCATCTCCGTTACATTTTTATCTCCAATCACTTCCTCCTCGCCGAGTGATCATCTCAAATCCACCCCCCCCTATCGCCCCTCGCAGTGTTCTGGCACCTCGAGATGCATCGAAGCGAAATAACTAATCAACAACGATGGTGATGGTGGCGATGGCGATTCTATTATCTCCCCCGCCCGCCCCACCAATACGACCACCCCCAACCACAACATCACTCACCGTTGCCTCCCACGAGAGAGTGTGCCCCCTATAATCATTAGATGCAGCCCCTCCCCACAGCCCCCCTCTAATCTCTATACCCCCCCCCCCCCAATTAATTTAAACGCCCCTCCCCTTTCATGATTAAAACACCATCCTATAATTAATCATTACACCCCCTCCATCCCCGTCAAATAATTATTCTTAACCCCCCCCCACCCCACGGGGGGTGGGGTCACGACCCCCCCACAATCTGCCCGCCCACTCCCCCCACAATCTTACACCTGCCCTCTACAAGTGCCACTACTATTGCTGGGGGGCGGGGGGGCCGGGGGGGTCTGGGGGGGGGGCCCTTTGGGGGGCGGGGGCCCGGGGGTGTCGGTCGGCAGCCCGCGTCTCTTCCCGGACCGCTTCGGTGTCACGCAACAACATAATGTCGTCACGTGATGTTCCCACGTTGCATTGCAGGCTCTAGTGAAAATCGGGCTTCGTGTACCGAATTCGGAATTTGTTACAAAAACCAACATCCACAATGGCTCTTACTTGTTATTTTGGTGAGATATTGCGTCACCCAATCCAGGAGGGGGGGGCACGACCGCCACGATCCCAACTTAGTCGTCAATAGCACGACAACAGTGACGTAGCACGCACACACACACACGACTCACATGGTGAGAGAACAAAGATACAGCACCACCACCACCCCCGTATCGCCTGAACACGACTGTTGGGGCAATTCTGTTAGCGAGTGGGACCTCTCAAGGCCGGCACCGGCACACGAGAGGGTGGGTGGCCAGTACCACGCCCGGCCGCCTTTGTCTCCCCAGTGGCGATGTTTACATACCGCACCAGGTACTCATTTGAGGCCGAGTCGACCCCAGGGGAGGCCCAGAACTGGTTCAGATAATTCAGAATCAGAATGTGTATTTAGAATGGAGGAATCCGATGTCCAGTCGAGGCGAGTAAGAACTTTACAACAAACAGTACAACAACACGAAAGGAGTGTCAATACCAGGTAAACAAAGCACCAAAACACAAATAAAACGAAACCATCCCCATCCTACCAGACGAAGCCCACCGAGGTATTAACTTATTTGTTCAAAAGCGACCTGGCCACAAATGATAGCTCAAAAATGTGGCTTATCATTTGTCACTGGTGTTGCCCGTGAAGGGGAATTGAAAAACACAACAGCCGCCATTCTCAACAAAGCGCTTGTGCCAGGTTAGGTTCACTCCGAGGCCAAGTGAAGTGTCAAACGCCACCTGGTATTAGATTCACGAGCCAGACCCAGGTACTCCATGGATCGGCTGAGATGACTGCCCAATGCATCACCTGTGCCCCCCCCCCCCCCCCACCGCGCCAACTTGCTGCGTTTTATCCACCCGGCGCTCCGCTCGTTGTTGTGAGCGCCGCTCCTCTGCCCTCAGTCGTTGTTGCTGGAGGGCGACTGCCTCCAATTGCCCAGCAGCAGCAGCGGCAAGCGGCAGCGTCCTCCACGCGTTCCTTGCCAATCCGTAGCACAAATCTCCAACCCCGCACGGCGCAGGAACATCGCGGTATCTCACACACGTGTGCGGTGTGTGATGTGGACCACCTGTCAAGATCCACCCGCTCCCAACATCCCACCCCTCCCACCCCCAAAAATCTATATTTGGCATCGCCTTTTAACTCGTTCGAGCGCGCGGACTAAAATGTAACAAATGACACGTGGCTTGACGCAGCGGAACCCCCCCCCCTCGCCGGCCTCTCTCACGCGGGATATTTGTCGAGATGGCCAAATGTACAACCCACGCCCGGCCGCCTTTGTCTCCCCGGTGCCGATGTTTAATGCGCACCGCACCCGGTGCTCGTGTTCTGAACGCCGTGTCCGCATTAACGTTTTCAGATCACAATCGCCGACGTTGAACCGCGCGGGCAGGAATCGAACTCGTGCGGCCGTGTTCCGCAGTGCGCTAACCACACACACTGCGTCACTCCAGTATAGACTGTTATATAGACTGTTGTATAGACTGTTGGGAGGAAACGCCGTGTACCCACTACCGTACACACACACACAAGATAAAGATCCCCCGTACAGCCTTAACAGACTCTTGGGGGCAAGTGCTGTTAGCGGAGTAGCACCTACGATGGCCGGCACGGCACACGGAGGTGGATGGGTGGCCAGCGCCACGCCCGACCGCCTTTGTCTCCCCAGTGGCCATGTTCACACACCGCACCAGGTTCCTCATTTGAGTCCGAGTCGACCTAGAGGACGCCCAGGACCGGTTCAGACTTGGCCGTGAGCGAGAATCGAACTCGGGTCGGCGGGTTCTGAGCACAGCGCGCTAACCGCTACCCTCCCCGCACACAAAGCCAACATACATATGAGAGTAACCCAAACCTATCCAGAGACGTCAACATCGCCTTCATCCAGCAGTGGCGTGATCATGCTGACGAGTACACATCACGTCAACACGAGGCGGCTATTCCTGTGGCCGTACGTGATACAAGCCGCTATTATATATAGTGTGGAGCGGTGGCGCAGCGGTTAGCGCACTTCGCTACGATTATCGTGGCCGTCTACAGTAACAAAGCTTTCAATTCCCAGCCACGGCTAACATCAGTGGCGAGTGACAGCACACCACAAATCTTCACGAACCGGCACCGACCAACGTGGCGAAGTATGGTCGAACAAACCCCTAAGAACGAGTCGACGGGCGGATCTTGCCTTCATCCAGCAGTGGATTAACAACAGATGGCTGGGTGGTGCCGAGCCCGTGCGTGATGAAGTATGGGTCACATAACCGCCTCGATCTACAGCGACCGTGGCAAAGACCCCCCCCCCCACATCCACCCCCCCCACATCCACCCCCCACCACCAGCACTCATCCAGCAGTGGACTGACAAAATGGACTGTGGTGGTAGTAGCGACGTACGCTCGCAACGATGCCGGCAGCTCTGCCCGACGCACGCAGCCAAGCCGGGCCGGCGTGCGGAGGAGTCCGTAGCCCCCCGGTGTGGATGGGAGGTCTCACCTGGTGGCCGGTAGCTCGGGTTAAGTGACCGGTGGGGCCCGGACCAGACACCACCACCACCACCACCCCCACCCCACACCACGACCGACCGACTGCCCGGCCGGCTCCCGGTCTCTGTCCACCGCGCGCCACGCCGTGACCGAGACGAAGCAGCGTTCGGTCTCGGTGCGCGGCCGGCTTTTAAATAAACCGGCGCTGGTTAGCGCGGCACCGACGTTTCGGGGTGGGTGGGTGGGTGGGTAGTGGGGGGGGGGCGGTAGTATGGGAGGTAGTGGGGGGTAGTGGGGGGGGGAGGTGAAGTTTATCGATTGCGTGGCGTGGAACGAGAGGAAGCGAGAGGGGCAACCGGCTTGCCGGGGCGAGCGGCTGAATGAGTAAAGCGGGAGAGGAAGGTGGAGGGAGGGGAGGAGCAGGGAGGGAGATGCAGGCGTGGGTTGTGCAATGCGTGGTGTGTGCGTGTGTACGTGTGTGGTGGTGTGGGGGGGCGGGTGAAGGGGATTGCCTGGGCTCCCGACGCCGGTTTTCTCCGGTTCTGTCCGCCCGGTGCGGCTCTCCGCGGCTCCGTTCGCGCACGCGCGCGGGGGGTGCCGCAGGCGGCGGCGGCGGAGATGACCGCGGCCGCCTCCGCCCCCTAGCGGCTGTTCGGTGGCCACTGCGGGCTCAGGCCAAACTGCTCGCAGCCCTGCCTCCACACCACCCTACATACTGTTTGGTTCTTTCTGTAAAGTCACGTAGGTGAAAATAAAAATAAAATAAAAATAAAATAAAAATAAAATAAAAATAAAATAAAAATAAAATAAAAATAAAATGAAATTAAATTAAAATAAAATAAAATAAAAATAAAATGAAATAAAATAAAAATAAAAATAATCTAAATCACGACGTTTCGGAGGCAACACAAGCCTCCGTCATCAGGTGGAACAATCCCAGCAAAAAATGTCTACTGTAGTGGGCAGAGAGAGATGCATTTGACAAGCGATTTTCTATTATTTTTTGCTGAGGTTGTTCCACCTGATGATGGAGGCTTGTGTTGCCTCCGAAACGTCGTGATTTATTTTTAATTTTTTTTATTTTCACCTACGTGACTTTACCGAAAGAACCAAATAGTATGGATCCGCGCAGCCACGAAAACTTCAAATCGAGAACACCACCTACATATTTGACCTGTGCTGTCTGTGTGCATGAACATAAATACTCGAACGTACATATGAGCAATACACAGAGGGCCTCATGCATAAGCAGGACTAAGGTACACGAGACAGGACCGTACAGATCTTGATTTGAAGCTTTCGTGACTGCAGGAATCTATACTCTTTAGATCTTTCGGTAAAGTCACCTGATGATGGACGCTTGTGTTGTGCCCGAAACGTCGTGATTTGTTTTATTTTCACCTACGTGACTTTACAGAAAGAACTGAAGAGTAAGGACCGTACAGGATATGAAAAATAAACATTGACACTGTTTTGTAGCACGATACAGTGTTGTATATGAACGGTACTAGTGGACCGTATCTCTAAAGTATACAACGAGAAACCTACATAGAAACCCTATAATATGTGAACAGGACAAATTAACCATCTGTTGTTGCCATATGCAGAACATTTGAGCAGTACAACTGGAACTTATATGCCAACAATACAATTCAACTCTGAACATTGGAGGAATTCTACTTAGGGGCCGTCCATAAATGACGTCACGCCATTTTGGACGATTTTGACCCCCCCCCCCTCAAATATGACGTCACAAATCTCTGCCCCCCCCCCTCCCAAAAAAATAAAACACGCTTCAAATGGCATTAAACTATTGTCATTGTAGTGCGTATTTAATGTGGCGCTGCACTATGATGTTGTAGGAGAAAACATTTATTAAAAAGTATATTTAATTAAGTAGAACGTGTTGTCACACATCGTCACAAATGTCTGACCCCCCTCCCAGGTGCGTGACGTCATTTATGGACGGCACCTTAACCATATCGGTGAACGCTATATACATACAGTGGCATCGTGGCGACATCATCCGCTCATGGGGTGCTGCAATTGGACAGGTGGGGCTAACAATATTTGATTTATCTCGCACGATCGCACCTGGGCTATGAATCGACATCGTTGCTACGCTGACGGTCTTGAAGATGTAACGCCGTAGGGTGCAGCCACCGTCTACGCAAACAATGGGGCCGCCGTCGTTGCAATACAATTGACGCGGATCTCATTAAGAAAATGTCCCAGAAACGGAATTATACGTCCGATGTACTGTAACTCAAGTTACTGTCGTTCAGAGCAAACTATCTAACGTTTCTTTACGGTAAAAAGGGTATTAGTTGCAATACTAAATATCTGAATAGCTACGCTGGAGTTACACTGGCATATACACCAGCAACCTCATGTATAACAATAATATAATTTTACAACATCTTTTTTTTTCTTTAAAGTAAACAACACGCCTATCCTTTAGGAATGTTTTAATTAGGAATTATCACCGCATGGCTCCTACAAACGCTTTCAACTGAAACGCTCGTCCCGAGCATTTCACTTTACAACATGCCTACGCTTGTTACGTTTCATCAACAGAACTACGGTGCAGTATATGTGAAAGACTAATAATTAATGATATTACTAACTCGTCACAAGCAGGACGACGACCACTCCTCTATCATTACGTGACAGCCCCATTTCCATGTCTTTTGCGTTGGCGAACGTGGAGGTGACATCTCCAAAATTGACGTCAACTATTTCCCTCCGTATGCAGCAGCAGCAACAACAACAACAGGTTCATAATCAACGTTTTTGGGTTTAGATCGCGTTATTTATAAATGTGTCGTAACCCTCCACCACCCGACACGGCCAATCAGCAAAAAAGTGTCACGTTGACAAAAGACAAAAAGTTCACTGCTTTAGCCCACCAGTGTGTTGAAGCGTGAAACCACAACATTTACAATTGGTTTCACGCTGTCTTTCCGACAGCCCTGTTCTTCACCTGAGGACGGCTGCTTGCGTTGTAGCCGATACGTCGTGAGAATTGTATTTTATTTTGTTTAATTTTTTATTATTTTATTATTTCCCTTCTACGTGACTTTACCGAAAGAACCAAGAAGATAAATTCAACATACTCGTCAACAACAATCGGCGACGTTTCAGGAAACGCTCCTTCGTGCTGTTGAGTTTTGTATATATGTAATCGGTCATCATCAATCCTAATCAATCCACTGCTCGATGGAACCCCCCCCCCCCAAGCTATTCAGCGTCTCTTGCGATGTAACAATGCACACACAGCGCCTGCTTGCTATGCAGGTTGCTGCGTGTGGATTGATGCACCGATGAGACTCAGCACGAGCTGAGTGCCTTCGTGCTCCTGTGTCCCCGTGATTCATGGTGGTCCTCCCTCTCGGTCGTGTTCCCACCTCTGACTCGAATTAACAACACGCGAAATGTGCTGTGCAGCGTTGTACATCGTGGTTCGGATGTCTTGACTCGCAATTAATTGACCCCAGACATTGTTTTGCCCTTTTCATGTTAATTTATGTTTGAAATAAACCTTGCTTTGAAAAAATGTTATGTTTTAGATCATTAAATCTGGGTCACAGAACATCTGGACGACCATGTACAACATGTGCAAAAATAGCTGTCAGCCTTGTCTAGGCCACCAGCTCAACAGCACTGAACGTGTGTGGCCATTTAGTGGCTTAGAACCACCCACTCAAGAGAGTTGAAAACTCGCAGTCATCTCAGCAGCAGCAGCAGGCGAAACGAGAACGCGACTGCAGACCTGTTTCGTCCTCACTGGGACTCATCAGTACGGGTGCCACTCCGTTCTTGGTTTCTACCAAAGCTCACACATCATCCCGTCGCTGAGCGACTTGTCACAATCTTAAAACTTGCACGGTATGTTTTAGCGTTGCGTGCGATACAGGAACGTATCTTGATTTTCTGATGACTCTTAGAGTTATGCGTCCCCTCGCCAGGCACGCGTGCTAACCCGCTACTGGCCGGGCATCTTTCCACCCCTATGTTGATGATGATCGCGCTGCGTGTCTACTGGCAATGGAGGCTTTGCAGGTATTTACAAAGACAAAGCCCTCCCCCCCGCCCGTATAGCCTTTAACAGACTGTTAGGGCAAGTGTTGTTAGCGAACACCAACTCGGTACGGCACATGGGGAGGGGGGGGTGATGATGACCAACACCACGCCCGGCCGCCTTTGTATCCCAAACGCGAATGTTGCACCGATTGCTCGCCTCCCCACCCAGCCCCACCCCTCCCACCCCCCACCCAGCCCCACCCTCCCCACCCTCCCCAACCAGCCCCTCCCCACCCTCCCCACCCCACCCAGCCCCTCCCTCCCTCCCCACCCAGCCCCTCCCTGCACGACGGACGGACGGACACAATAATTCCCTGTGGGCTGGTGTAACCAGGAGGTTCCTACCAGTATAAGGTAGGGCATTGATAATGGGTTGACAGGTATGCTGTACGACTACTGTCATAACAACTGCATTGTCTGTGGCGCTGTGACTTGGCAAAGCCCTTATACCCGGGCGCCGCCAGCAGTGTGTATGAGCAGGAAGCTGCACGGGCTGCACCTTTAACTCGTGACACTGTTCTCTCCCCACTCCAAAACTCAACGTTGGCCGGTCTCATTAATAATGTAAGTTCACCTTTGCCCATGGTACGCGTACAAATCAATAGCTGTTGCTGGTGCTGCATTTGCTTCACTGCACGAGCGCAATTAACACCCTTATCCTGACTGGGAGGGGTGGGTGGGGGGGCGGGATACACGTATTATAGGCTAGACGTTTCGGGTAATGACCTCCGCGTGACGCCGCGCTACACATGCATTGCCGTTGTTGCGCACTGTTGTATATGTTGGTTATCAAAATTTGTTATGTTGTATGCGTGCGTGGGTGAAATTATTATGTTGTATATGTGGGTTATGAATATTCAGTGAAAATAATAATAATTAAATGAAATTTGGCCAAATGTGTAATTATCCGGAAATATGTTAATTTATGTAATTATGCACATTTTAATTATGCCAATTCGAGAGGTAATCGTATTAATTATGCGAGTGGGTGTAATTATGATAATGCAAGTCGTTATGATAACCAGACCCCGCCTCGGTGATGAGGGTGGGTTATCGATCGGAATAAGGCAATTAATCGTATGCAGTTATGCAGGTGTGGTGTAAGTATGCAAGATTAACTTAGATTAACTCGGCATCGTTGTCTAGGTTCGTC